CGACACCTGCATTGAACGCGATGGCATCCGTTATATCCGCAACTGCGATAAACGCGACCGAAAACGTGACCGCGAACGCTATTTAAAACCCTAGTTGCGATCAATGATTTTATGAACTCTGTTTGAGAAGACGACCATCGGGAAAGGACCACTGTTATCGATTTTAACATCTCATTCTTGAAAGGAAAATTCTTCCTCTAAGATATTCCCAGATTGTTTCTTTTCCTCGGTAATATGGCTGCTCACCATTACAGTATGAAGGTTTCGGAAGTTTCTCGACTGATTCCTGGTTCTCGTCTTGTATGGATGAATCTTGGGGAATCTTTACTACTTCTTGCACGTTTTTCACATCCATACCACACGATGATTTTTTTCATGTTCTTAACTTTCTTTGTTGCTTTTTTGCTTTTCCAGGGTTTCTTTTGTTCCAAGGTTGTTCCCCCAGAGCTTGGCTTTCCTTTGGTATTTGGCTAGTCCCCATTATTTTCTCAATCACAATGACAATATCGCATTGAATGGACTTCCTATGATATTTGATTGTTGAAACGTTTGCCTTAATAACGAGCATATTTTGTTTAACAATCTTATTTTAGTAAATAATCTTTAATGTAACCTATTTCCTTAATTAATTACTGTAATCATTTATTCTAGTTTGGTCGTATGTTTTGATATATTTGTATCTTTTTGTTCATTAAACAAGCGAAAAAAAAAACTGAACGGTTGTATTTTGGTAAACGTAGGGTGCAAACGGCAGCGTTTCAGTCATTGAAGCTACCATCATCCATTACTGAAGGCGGCATAGGTTTTAAAGCTTTAGCTCTAGAGAAAATGTACTTGACACTCCACTCGACTCAGTTGTGTCTGTGAATACAAAGCAATGAGTCAGCCTCGTGTCTTCCAAGCACATGCCCACATCACTCCATTCTTCACACGCGCTCACCAGGTCGCCGCTCTCTTCCTCGTAACCGCCACGTTCTTCCTCACTCGTCTCTTCGACCAATCCTTCCCTCCCTCCAGCTGCTACCTCGATCACGTCCGTCCGTCTCCGAACGTCAACCTCCACGTCGCCAAAACCAACGGTGCCGGACATGTGTTGTGGCCCGATCGAGGGTACGGGTCCCACCTCTCCCTCAAGATCTACGTCTACGAAGATAACGAGATCGACGGCTTAAAAGAACTTTTGCGCGGAAGAGACAGATCCATTTCCTCCAATGCTTGTCTTAAAGGCCAGTGGGCTTCTCAGGTAATGGTTCTTTCTTCAAGATTTTTGTTTACTTAAACAACCTTTTGTTTTCAGGAATAATGTATTTCAAATTTAATCTTAATTGTTAGTGAACAATAAATTCGTAGGTTAAAATTCACAGGCTATTGCTTGAATCTCGATTTCGAACAAGAAAGAAAGAGGAAGCTGATTTGTTCTTTGTACCTTCTTATGTTAAATGTGTTCGGATGTTGGGTGGTCTTAATGACAAAGAAATTAATCAAACTTATGTCAAGGTAAAACCTTACTTTAATTGTTGAATGCATAAATTACATGATCTTTTGTAAAGAATTAACTGTTGCTTTGTTTCAGGTTTTGAGCCAAATGCCATATTTCAGACGGTCCGGAGGACGTGACCATATATTTGTTTTCCCAAGGTATAAGTTTTAGTTATTTTTGTTTCGTTAGGTTTGAATTTGATTAACTTTGATTCCGAGGTTGTTTGCTTTTTTTATTTTTTATTTTTGTCAATTTCAGTGGTGCTGGAGCTCACCTGTTTAGATCATGGGCAACCTATATAAATCGATCTATAATTCTCACTCCTGAGGTATTGGTCCTTTCCCTCCTATAAAGCTTATGATTTTTATGTAGCATATGCATTCGGTTTAGCTAGGATGTGATGGGATAGAGGGTGTTTAAATTTTGGGCCCATTAATATGCATCCCATGCTGTTTCTTTCCCCCTTGTGCCTGAGTTCCGTCATAGGGCATAAATTGTCGTAATCAATAGTTTGACCCCAATTAAAGAAGCCGAGTAAAATGCAGCGAATATGAGTGATTCTAGTCTAGGGTCATATAACCAATTTATGGAAAATCATCAAATTTTGTTTTTGTTTCGGTTTGAGCTACCTGTTGGTTTAGAAATTAGATTTTTTGTAAAAGAACACATGCACCCTCCATTTTTGGCCTTGTCGAATCAAACCATTGTAACTGGCTAGATGAATTCATTTAAACTCTTTACTCAATGGGGAAAGCATGTTAGACTGAATTCCTGGAATCCTTGAGTTACTATCAGTGGAACATCCTTTTATTGTGAAAATAGGTGTTAAACTTATGTTCATGGGATAAAACAATCACTTTTCTTGTCGGAAGAATTATTTTGATCCAATCTTTCCTGCCTATATCCACTTTTCTTTTTGTTGAAATTGCCAGCTCCACTTGTCGATCTGAAATTATGAAAGGCTGCTACGTATTTGATAAATATGGTGAATGAAAATTAGTTTAGTTGTTTCTAAATCTTGTCATGTGGAATTAACAGATCTGTTGTAGAACTATTCTTAGATATGTGTTGAGAACAATGAAGTTTATTCTTTTCTTTTTCCCCTGCAATCTTGTTTTAATATCTTACAAATGAATGTTTAAAGCCATTTCGTCTCCAAAGTTATTCTTAAGCTTCACGTTTCAATTTTCTTACCAATTGAAGCTTTCACAATTGAATTTCTCTTGTGTTTTATGTTGCCTTTCTTAACAAAAGAATGCCGATTTGTGTATTGTGCAGGGAGACCGTACTGATAAGAGAGACGTAAGTTCCTTTAATACATGGAAAGATATCATCATTCCTGGAAATGTTGATGATGGGATGACAAAAAGAGGGCCGACTATTTTCCAGCCTTGGCCTCTATCAAAGAGAAAGTATTTGGCAAACTATTTTGGCCGGGCACAAAAAAAGGTTGGTCGTCTTAAATTGATTGAGCTTGCAAAGGAATATCCGGATAAGGTACGTGATTCCTTCTTTGTCAGATGAAGTTCTTAACTGCTTTAGATATCTAAAATTGTATCATGTACTGATGGTTTAGTAGCTACATATAGAACCTCAAAACAACAATATAAAGCCTCAGCATGTAATTTACTATTCTGTGTAATAGAACTTTTAATTGATTAATAAATTTGTTCTTTCTCCCTTTTAGTTTTGGTTCATTTAGTGAGAATCTAGTTCTAGAATCAGGAAGTTTATGTTTTTAATATTTGGTATTTCTCATACTGTTTCTTCTCTACCTGTATTGTGGCTTAATCTTCTTAACTCTTTCTGCATCTGGATTCATTTCTGGTTGATTGATGTGAATTAGGAAACCTTATAGCTAAGTTGATTTTGAATAGAATTTTCTAATTTTATGTTGTGGAAAAAAATGTGTAACAGTTGGAATGTCCAGAGTTACAATTAAGTGGTCCAAACAAATTGGGAAGGCTGGAATACTTTCAGCACCTTGGCAATGCCAAATTTTGCCTTGCACCGCGTGGAGAGTCATCTTGGACCCTCCGCTTTTTCGAGGCATTCTTTGTGGTCTCTCTTTCCCCTCTCTCTGTCATTCACAAGCACACACACATGCACACAAGTAAATTGAATTGTTTTTGTTTGTTTCATGAACAGGAATGTGTTCCTGTCATCTTATCAGACCAAGTAGAACTACCGTTTCAAAACGTAATAGACTACACGCAGATATCAATCAAATGGCCATCCTCATTAATAGGACCTGAGCTTCTGGACTACCTAGGTTCAATGCCTGGTCAGATATTCTATCTTTTGCTTGTTACTTACTGAACTCTTTAGTAGTATCGAACAACCGAAATTCGCATTTATGTTTCAGATGAGGTCATAGCGCAGATTATAGCTCGTGGCAGGCAGATAAGATGCTTGTGGGTTTACGCTCCAGAGTCGGAACCATGCTCTACAATGCGAGCATTAATGTGGGAGCTTCAGAGGAAAGTAAGGCAATTTCACCAGTCCACTGAAACATTTTGGCTACATAATGTAACCGTTGTGAATAGGGATCTTGTTGAATTTGCAAACTGGAAACCTCCTATGCCTTTGCCTTGAAAAGCATGCTGTTTGTTTACCAGGGTGCTGTTTTTCTTCAATTTTCACAAATTAGTGTTCACTGGGTTTAGAGCATTTCTATTATTTTTTCACCTTTTAAAATTAGTATTCACAATTATCATTTTGTAAACAATGACACGGAATTTTTTGTACATTACATTAATTATAAAATATTTTTAAAAGTAAAATAAGAAGGAATTATTTTGATCTTTTAAATTTTAAAATTTATTTAACTTTACATATGTTTGATGAAACACATTTAAAAATAGGATAAAATACATAAATGGTCTCCCAATTATAGAATGCAGTTTTGTTGAATCTCTCTATTATTAAAATTTATAAAATTATCACTTGATTATTCATATGTTTTAAATTCATCTTTTTTTTTTATAAAAATTTGATGGTCGTTTAAATTAAACGTTAACATGTTGATTGAGATATGATAAAATTTAGTTCAAGAATTGTTTGAATTATATTATCGTTTGAGATTCTGAGATTAAATTTTATCATATTTTAGTTAGTATATTAACATTCAACTAATGTGATCATCGTTTTTTTAACGAAAAAGATGAGTGAAATATATAAATAGTTGAGTGATCATTTTATAACTTTTAATAGTTAGAGTTCAGAAAAATAACACTCTTTAGTTTTGAGATTATTTTATAACTTTTAATAGTCGAAGTACTTAATAAAATAATATTTTATAGTCAAAGACTATTTATGTATTCTACCCTTAAAAATAAAAGAAAATAAAATATTAGAAAAAAAGGGTAAATTTGTGGGTTGGATAAATTATCGGGAAGAATCTGAAAAATGCGCAGAGATGCGACCACGTTCACAAAAAAAAAAAATACATCAAGTTGGCAACTTCAATACTCTTCCTCATGACTTGAAAACAGAAATTCTCAACAATCACTTGTTATTGAATTCTAGAATCTGACCCATTACTCCAAAGCACTCCCATTCTCTCTTTGCTTTCTCTATAATCCTCTGGTACAAACATGTCCACCACATTGTTCTCCTGTTGCACTAGCTTTTCATGGAACTGTTATCGGCAACAACTATCTTTTTCTTCACCGGAAAATGGAATTTCAAGATCCAAAACCCATCCCACTTCAACAGAAAATGGATTGATTGGTAAGGAGAAAGACGTTTCATGGGGGATTTTGAGCCGACGGTCCCTTTTGATTTCTGGGATCTCTCTATCGTCATCGTCTGTAGTTGGATTTCCAGATGAGGGTTTAGCCGTCGTCAAACAAGGTCTTCTAGCAGGAAGGATACCTGGCTTGTCTGAGCCCGATGAACAAGGTTGGTAGTATTACAATTTTACTTGCTCATCGGTAGCCTTCTCAGCCATACAACATCATGCATTAATTCTCACATCCCCCGATCCCTAGCATTTAAATTTCTGAAGAACTTAATGGAAACCTAATTTTTCTGGCAAATACTTCCTAAATTTGTGATCCATCTTCATGTTCCTGTTCAACCTAGTTTCTTGATGAAGTTACAGATGGGGTATCCTATCTAACAATTGGTATTGTATTCCCAAGGTGCCTTTGTGGGATTTTGTCTCCCAAGATGCTTAGACTGGACAGAAATGTGTGAATTGATAGATGTTAAAGGCCTATGGTGATAATGAAACCAGTGCATGCTTTGCTACATTATCTGTATTTGTTGTTTTAGTGAAAGATCATCTTCGCTAGTAAACAATGTGCTCAGACAGATTGGTGTACTTATCGAAGACCAGATGAAAAGTCAGGAGGGCATGGTGTTGGATGGAGTCCTATCATCCCTTATTCCTTTAAAGTGCCTCAAGGTTGGGAAGAGGTACACATTAATTCCACTACACATTTCCCATTTTCAAGCTCTTTTCTGAACATATATATATATATATACATCCCTACAACAGGTTCCCGTATCGATAGCTGATTTAGGCGGTACAGAGATAGACTTGAGGTGTGCTAGCTCGAAACAAGGACGGTTGTTTGTCATTGTTGCACCTGTTCTGAGATTCGCTGACAGTAAGATTTTCTAGTTTCAATACAACTTTGTAGCATTTTGTGTTAGTCCATTGAAGTAATCTGCAATGAATTTTTCTCTTTAGATACCAAAATAGTTTAAAGTTGTTTGATTTGTGCATGGATGCTAGAATGAATTTAAGATTACTGATGCCTACTTACAACATAAAAAAACTTGTTTGCCTTGTGATTGCATAGACCTTGGTGACAATGCCACGATTCAAAAGATTGGACCTCCTGAAAAAGTTATCAATGCGTTTGGTCCGGAAGTGATCGGTGAAAACGTAGAAGGCAAGGTTCTAAGCATGAACACAGCGGAGCATGATGGCAGAATGTATTACCTGTATGAATTGGAGCCACCCCACGCACTGATCACTGCAACTGCAGCTGGTAATCGCCTTTACCTATTCAGTGTAACTGGAAGTGGTATGTACTCTCTGTCTTACTTGGTGCTTCTTTTGAATCCGTAATCTTTGAAAGTTAGTCCAACATGCATTTCATCTGAGTTATTGTTTAATCAAATCGAGAGACGAAATATTCTTAATGTTTGATGTTTCTGACAGGTCTTCAATGGAAAAGGCATTACGAGGATTTAAAGAAGATAGCCGAGTCTTTTCGTGTGGTCTAGTTTCCGGTATCCCAGGATTATGACATCAGTAGATTATTGGACATGGATATTTTTCCTCTGTATTCAAAGTTACAACAAAAAGGAGAAGAAAAAGAGGTGTAGTTGCTTCACAGATCTAAAATGTGCAACTTTTTTCTAGTATGATTTTTGTAGAAAAGTTATATAGCTTGCATGAGTGGTTAGATATGGTTACATTTTGTTTGATGCTTAGTTGTTTAAATTTTCTTTCTTCTTAAAGTGACCACATTAGACACTCGACATTCATATCTATTGTATCTCCTTCGGAAGTCACGTCTCTGCTACCATTCATCTAAACCTTTGGAATTTCATAAAGTCTTCGAAATTTTGTATCATTCGGATAGTTACAACACTGAGATGAGATCATCGACAGGTCACGTAAGTTACAATCCACTATCTGATGGTCAAATAGTTTTTCAACCCGTGAGACTCATAATCACCCAAGTCTGACACCAATATCAAAGGTTAGCTTATAAGTTATTATGCAAGGTTAAAAAGGAGATATTCTCTCTCCCAAGTTCTTTTTCTCTCGAAACTTTCACCATCAGCAGTTAGTGAGATGAATGTGGTGTACCTCCCAATCGAAAAGTAGTAGTCGAGATGAACCCTAAGAGCATAATAACTAGTCCTATCTTCCATCTCTTTCTCAAATATCTCTAGTAATTCTATAATTTATCATATATTGAAAACTCTCTCAAATATCTCTAGTAATTCTATAATTTATCATATGTTGAAAAGCTTGTTGATATTGCTCTCAATAAGTGAAATGTATGATTATCGTTAATTCTATAATGTATGATTATCGTTAAGTGAACAGCTAGTCGATGTAGAATTGGATTACTCTTAGTTGCCTCCAGATCAATGGCATCAATGTCTCTCGAAGTGATTTCTGTGTCAAGGCAACATATGATCAGTATCTTGAAATAAGTCACCACATTGATCCTTAGAAATGATTCCTTTAATAATATTGTCTTCTTTCACTAGTCTCAAATCAAGTTATTTTATGGTATTCCATCGATAGTGAGGACAAATGTTGTACTTCCTCTTGATCACTTTCGGAAGCCAAATTTCTGTGACCATTCCTCAAAGCTTCTAGAGCTCTTGAAGGCCTCCGGATTTCCTCATAGCCTCTAGAGCTCTGTATCCCTCGAATAACAACAATATCTTAACGTTACTATTAAGAAGTCCATGTGATCTACAATTCATTATTTGACAATCAAATTTATTTGACCTGTCAACCTACAAATGATCATCATCATTATAGACTTGATATTAACACCAAGGGCAAATCTATAATATAAGTCACCATTGCATGTTAAAATGGGGCACTTTTCTCTCTCCCGGACTTTCTCTCTCTCAACAACTGTTTATTATGATCTTTATCTAGTATGATCTTTATTTCTCTTCCACCAAATAATCAACCATGATTCTTTATCTAAACTAAAATAGATACATTTTCAAAAACTATCGTAATCCAATTTCCACCATTAATATTGTCTGATACAATAAAATACGGATGAAAAACACACATTCAGGTAAGGGTCTCATTTCGCTCCCGATACAAAAGGCATAAATTCCATTAATCAATGATGTTTTAGTGTTTGAACTTTTCTTTGCTGTAGTCATTTTCATGCGTAGGGAATGTTAAGAGTAACCGCAAAAGCTGTCCTGTTTTGGCAACGACAGCAAAACATAGTTGGTTCCTGAGATAAGACGTGAGCATGGCATGTGTCTTTATGATCATTCAAATCTTCAAAAAAGAAATAATAGAACATGACAATACTCTAAAATGTTGCTTTTGTGGGTAAAGGTTGGCAATCTTGTCTCAATTTATTTTTATTTTATTTATTTAAAGATAGCTTTCAACCTTTCAACATCGAATGCTCATATTCTTGATATCTATGATACTCTAATCCGGATATTCAAAAAATAACAACAATTCTTTTACCACATAAATCACTTGGTTTGTGTTGTTTACTTCTATTGCAAGTAGTTTAATACTTAATAAAGAAGTGATATTGTGTGGTATAGTAATAATTTTAATCTTTATATATTTTATTACGTTGGTATTAATTTAAAATAATTTTATAATTTTAATGTTTGATATCTAAAAATTTTATCGATTTTAATTTTTTATTTTAATTAAAAAATAATCTAATAAATATATTCCTTCATCATATTTTCAATTATTTTTATGGATTAGAATTATAAATAATGTAATAAAAATATTTATGAAATGATTTCTCAAATAATGTATTTAATCTTCACATCCAAATTCATATAACCTAATAAATCATTGTTTCAAGTATCGAAGATATTTGAGAAAACATAAAATCTCTTGATGAATATATAAATAAATGTAGGAAATCATTAATCATGAAAATACCTGACCTAAACGATGGAAGATTATTGGGACTTAAACAATTTGATGTCTAATTAAAATTTTATAGATAATTTGATTAAAATCTAAATTAGATCACATAAATTTGAGAGCATATATATTTGAAAACTTATTTCAAAATAAAATATAAACGAAAACGAGAAACTCAATTTAGTAATTAATAATGCTGAAACTTAATTAAATTTTAATTAACTCAAGAATTAATTATTATATAATTTTAATTTTAGATTTTTATAGTTTAGTTTTTAGGATTTTTCATACTTTTTGTAATCTATGATTTTTTTTTCATAATTTCTAGAATTTTTAAACAATTTGTTTTTTGAAAATTTGATTTTCTAACTAATTTTTAAACTTTAAAAGTTTTGTTAATATCTAATGTTTTTGAAAAATTTTAAATTATGTTACAAATTAGAGTGGACCAATTAGATCAATTTTAAATTTGACAGGGACTCAAAACATATTATACCAAAGTTGTTATTTAGATGTTTAGATATTCAAGCCGTAAAAATCAAATTCAATTTAAACTCAAATAATTTAAATTATATATTTAATTTGATCTAATAACTCAAATAACTCACTTCAATTAATTCAAAATTTATTTTTATTCTTTAATTATTAAATTAAACCAAGTTTTGCTCATACGCACATGCATGGTCTATCGAATAATACATGTAAGTATGAACTAAACGACTTTATTGGTTAAATAGATGATTGTTATGTTTAGAGGTCTCAGGCTCGAACACGGTATTTACATGGATATTTGAGCGTTCATCGTCAGTTGATTAAAAATTTTCAGACATATACTATCTTATAGTTAGTCCAGGTTGATAAAAAAAATAATACATGTAAAAAATAATCTCACATGTAACTTTTTTAAAATATATTTATCAAGTATACCTTTAAAACAATGATACTTTGTCCTTGATCAATGAACTACTATCAATTTCGTAATTGCATGATATTATTATTGTGAATATTTGAAGTTTTGACATTAATTTAACCACCCAAATTTTCAACTTAGAAAAAGGCAAATCAAAAGTAGAAACCTTACCTGTTCTGCAATGGAGTTGTAACGTTTTCACATGCTTAGAAGGGAAGGTATTCAAGCAAATTAAAGCATCAAACTTACGTGATTCAACCCACATCATGGTTTTTAGATATCTTCCGATACTTTGCTTCTTTGAACTTGAAAGAAAATTTAAAATGCATGAACCTGAGTTTCTTTTTTCTTGTGTTGATTTACGTAACGTCTCATCCATCGACCGATATAAGTCCTGAAATTCAACGGGCAGTAACCACTGTAATTTAACGTAAGTATATTATTTAGCGATTAAAAATGAATGTTGTTATTTTTTAAGGTTTTGAGTTTGAGTAATTGTGTTTGCAAGATGTGTGCGAGTTGTGAATAGTTAAGTAATATCATATCTAGATACTACATTGTAATCCATCTAGACTATTTTAAAAATTATATTGTTAATTATAATTGATAGAATTAAATAAAAAATAACTTAATTTAAAAGCTTCAAAAATATTAGACAAGTAATACATAAAATAAAACGAAACGTATCAAAATCATATGTTAATACGAACATTGAGATAAACCGGACCATATAAGGGGTAATGCAGTACACAAATAATTATTGTATTTAATCTTTTAATTAATGCTAGTTTAGAAGATTTTATTTAAGTAAATATATTTGGTTGGATAACTAAGTAGCTCATCTTTGTTTCTTCATATTTCTTAAGTCACGGGTTCTATATCACTAGAAGTAGTCCCTTCCTTTCTTTAGAATCCTTTTCTTCACCCCTCTAAGTAGAATTAAAATTAAATTTAAAATTTATATATAAAAAACTTTATTTAAACATTTGAAGAATTGTATATCCAAACATTACCAGTAACCTCTATGCAAATAACTATAATTTTTATAAAAAGATAAGGGAAATCCAATAGTGAAATTAATCATTTAAGTACTAGTGATTTGAAAGAAGGTGATTAAATTTTACACTTACATAAATGGTTGTCCCTTTTTTCCCATATGTATGGGGTAAGGGGAGGTAAGATAGTAGGCTGCCCCCAATACCAAATTGAGAGCATCTTCCGTAGGAGACCTCCGAATTATGAAATGCCTTCCGTGGGACTCGATCTCACGACCTCAAGGTTAAGAACCTTGTGCTCTACCAACTGAGCTGGATGGTCATTTCATACACTTGAGGTAGAGCATAAGGTTCTTAACCTTGAGGTCGTGGGATCGAGTCCCACGGAGGGCATTTCATAATTTGGAGGTCTCCTACGGAAGCTGCTCTCAACCTGATGTTGGGGGCAGCCTACTATCTTACCTCCCCTTATCTCATACATATGGGAAAAAAGGGACAGTTACACTTACATAAATAAGTATATTAAATTCATTTTAATACAGACCACCTAAATAAGAGTTATGGAATCATTAAAATCATTTATTAAGTTCAACCAGTTAATTTAAAATATGTTAAGTTCACGTTGATTAAAAAAACCCATCAAAATGCATAAACCAACTTACCTCAATGGTTAAAGGAATCGTTGTTATTCCTAGAAGTCGTGGGTTCGAGTACCAATGGTTGCAACATGGTGATTGAGCGTTCATTGTCAAATGGTTAAGAATATTTAGAATACATATTACTTTTGTAATCACCTTAACTTAATAATAAAAAAATCATCCAACTTCGATATGAATTCATTAATAGAATTTAATAACTAATCATTTAAATTCAATAAATTCATTA